GCTAAGAGTATATTTCAGGAACAACTAGGAAAACAGTTAGGCAGCCATGTATGTAATGCCCACCCCGATGCAGCATGGAGTGATATCCGAAAAGCTGTGGAAACAGCAGTGATATCTGCTAGTAAGGTAAACCAGAAGGTTAGGGAGCAACACTGGATCTCAGCAGCATCTATCTCACTGATAGATGCTCGGAAACTCATTCCACCTGGCTCTGAACATAATGAAGAGCGGAGTCAGCTTAAGCGCAAGCTGACAAGAAGCCTACGCAATGATCGCGAACAGTGGTGGGTGGTGAAAGCAAGAGAGATGGAAAAGGCAGCGGCAATAGGTAATAGCAGACAATTGTTCAGACTCGTTAAGGAAACCGGAATTAGGAACCCGACCGTTAGCGAAACAATCTCAGAGAAAGATGGACATATTATTCATTCTCAATCCAGGAGATTGGATCGATGGGCAGAACACTTTAGGGATCAGTTCAACTGGCCTTCAGCCACACTTCGGTTTCCCACGATCTCTAGTCAACCTGAATGGCAAGTTAATGTAGGTCCTCCGACTTTTTACGAAGTTGAAAAAGCCATAGGAAATCTAAAACGAGGGAGAGCAGCAGGTCCTGACAGGTTTACTCCTGAGATTTTTAAGGATGGTGGTCCAGTATTAGCAATGAGATTAACCGAGGTCTTAGGTAGAATTTGGGAACTGGACTTAATCCCATCTGACTGGTCTCAATCACTGATTTTGCCAGTCTATAAGAAAGGACAAAAGTCCTCTTGTGACAATCACAGAGGAATCAGTTTGACTAATATAGTGTCTAAAATATTAGCTTCAATAATACTTCGACGCCTAATCAAAGCTCGTGAAGAGCAGACTAGAGAAAATCAGACTGGTTTTCGACCTGGACGTGGTTGTATAGATCAGATATTCACACTACGTCAGGTTCTAGAACACAGACACACATTCAGACGCCCCACAATGGTAGTATTTCTCGACCTTAAGGCGGCATTCGACTCTGTTGATCGTAAGGTTCTATGGCAGTGTTTGTCATTGAAAGGAGTACCAAAGAAGTACATTAACCTTGTAAAGGCTCTCTACTCGAACACAACTGGTCAAGTGAGGGCTTATGGCAAACTGTCATCAGAACTGATTACCTCAAGTGGTGTTCGTCAGGGCTGTCCACTCTCTCCATTCTTAATTAACTCTTTCCTTGACGTACTTTTAGAGATAACACTTTCCTCATCTAAATTTCCAGGAGTTGAACTTCTACTAGGAGATTCACTTGCTGACTTAGAATATGCCGATGACATAGTTCTATTTGGTGAAGACCCTGACAAAATGCAGAGTCTTTTGACCACTCTAAGCAACAACGCTAGAATGTTCGGGAGGCGATTCTCCCTCTCGAAATGGAAAACGTTGCTTCAGGATTGGGTTGCATCGACACCCGAACTAATAATAGAGAGTGAAGTAGTTGAGCGTGTCGACCACTTCACTTATCTTGGAAGTTTCATCAGCTCTTGTGGTCTGGTATGTGACACAATCTCAGCACGGATACAGAAGGCTCGACTAGCTTTTGCCAACTTGCGTCATTTATGGTGTAGACCAGATATCCGTCTATCAAACAAAGGACGTGTTTGCTGCACAGCAGTTCGTCCCGTCCTACTTTATGGCAGTGAAACATGGGCGGTAAGAGTAGAGGATATTGGTAGGTTACTGGTATTCGATCATAGGTGTCTTCGAAACATTGCTCTTATATCCTGGGACCATCGAGTAAGTAACGCAGTTGTTAGGGACCGGGTACTAGGTAAGGATGGCAAATCAATTGATGAATTAGTGAAAATCCATCAGTTAAGATGACTGGGACACGTGGTATGTATGCCCAACGACCGACTGCCTCGACGTGCTATGTTCAGTGGTATAGGAGTAGGTTGGAAGAAAGCTAGGGGCGGCCAATCCAAAACATGGCACAAGTCCATGAAGTCACTGACAAGTGAACTGAGTCATGTTGGTAGGTGTAGACTACATGGTTGGGGACCGCGAGATGATAGCAACCGATGGTTAGAGACCCTGAATGACATGGCTCAAAATCGTTTGCAATGGCGCAGGTGCATCCACTCTCTGTGTTCTCTCAAATTCTAATCTTCTGAATTCTTCATGTCCCTTTTTTCTCTTTCCAAATTTATTTCACTGGATTATACTCTATAAATAACATCTCCAAACCTTAATCTTCCCGATTACTGCTTATACTCTTACTACCTCTACCGCTATGGGATTTGAATCGACAACCGCATCTCTGTGCTAATATGGTGTGGCAACTCGAACTGATGTACGTACGTACGAAGTTCTACGTTGTTACTGACTGACTGTATATTTTTATCGTATAATTGTCAATAAACTAAACTATTCATATTCATGTCTCTCTTATCATAAGCTTTATTTTAACCTATGAACTGTTATTATATGTTTTTCCATTCTTGAATTATTCCCTGTCTATTAGTCACTGCCTCTATCATTCACAGCCACATCTGGCTAATTCTTGTACAAATGTTGTTCATATTTTATTGGTGCGTTGTGGTCTGTTTGATTGGTATATAAACAGAGTATGTTTGAAATATAATGATTCATATTACAGAAGCTGAGACTGATGTTCTGGAATTAACTGGCTAGGCTAGGTGGAAAGCAGGACCAATCAAGACTCTAGGCTGCTCGCACGTGTTTTACGCGTCCTTGGTCCGATCGATAATTCGCTGCTTCTGATTGGGGCCTTTGGGCTATAACAAGAATAAGCAAACGAGAAATGTTTCTGTTTATCAATTTTCACTTTTATTACTAAACAATTTGTTTCACACAAATCGACCAGATTTACTAACTCAAACGGTTTTTTCTATAGTGAATGAATATAGGTTTTACAACTCAACGAATAGATCTTTTACTTTTTTCTCTCTCTAGAGCTTGGTTTGAAAACTCTTCCTAGAAATACTCTCGCAATTGCTTCTTCTTCTTCAGATGTTCCTATGATCCTACTTTGTGAAACACTCAAGTATACAGTTAACATTGCATATTTGTGTATATACTTATCTTTGCTTAGGAGTTACACAACCGTTTCAAAATAGAATGTTGGACGTATATTACGTTCTATAGTAATATACCTTAATCTCACGTGAGTAATCAATGTAATCAACGAGATTGGAGCAATTCATCCTACTCTAGGAATTTATTTAAAACAGCACAACTATATTAATTCTGTGCGATCCCAACTGATGTTATAAATACTCTTATTCCCTTTAATATTGATAGCTGAAATCCTTCTGAACTACAACAAAATAAACGATGTAGGTGAATGTAAATAAAAGGTGGATGGCTTAAGATCCTAATTCTATACATAATCTATCTCCTTTAGAGATAGCTAATTTGCTATAATCTGTTATTGTTCCTGATATAACTAAAGAGTTATTATACTTGGTTGTTCCCACAACATATTGCTATTCTATGATAAGACTGGTTACCGCAAGATTGGTTACTCGAAAGATACACGTACGAGATCATATTACATCAGATGGCCGATTCATGACAAAAAGTAGAAAACCAGAATAAACGCTGGACAATACTTTAGACCACACAATGACAAGCAGTCTCTCTCACTGAGTCCAAATTATGGACCAATAACAAGAAAGGAAGTCACATATATAATAGTCAGTAAGATAAGTGTTTGTTTGTTCACTCTCAGTAACTAATCACATTTCACTTCACTAGCCACACATCAATCCTCAGTCCTACTTTAATGTTATGTAGGTTCCTTTCTATTTACTTCTGATAATATCGTAATGTAGCTGTTTTCAGAGTGGTTTATTCAGAAGTTCTCATTGTTTAAAAACCACATAATACGGTTGGTCAGATGCAGTTTCAAATATTGTATCAAATTTTGTCCTTCCCAACAATTATAATCCTTATTCACTATGTGCTATTTTCTTGAAATTTTCATAAGATCACCCTATAACTTATAAAAACCTCATGATTAACTGTCATAACTTCAGTTTGAGTTGCGTAACAGAAATGTTAACTGAATGTCGTAGTATTTGTTATAATCATAATCGAACTTGTAGATGAGGTAGATAAGTTATTAGTGGCTTCGGAGAGTAAAATGAATTTATATCGAAGCAACAGCTTAATTTACAAATGAGATCGTTTTATCGTTTTACGAACCGTAAGACGATGTGAGAAAAAGCAATGGCTTGGACACAACGTTATTGGACATGGTTCGTAATAAAAAGTAGTAGTAATTCTGTTGTACTTTTATTTTCGTCATAAAAGTAAATGTATTTTCCCTAACTGAACTGCTTCTGCCTTTATTAATACTATTATTATTACTTCACTCTAACACCCTAATTTATATTCATAGTTACTCACCCTCCATTCTCTATTTCTCCACAACCTCAATGTTATTATGTGGCGCATATGCAGTCAGTGCATCCTTGTACTAATGTTCATGTGTTCAAATAAATAAATGAAAAAAGTTTTGAATACACATTTAAACACACAAAGATCTGTTTAGTTTTACAATGACTTTGTATAGGCTATGTTTTAACAACTATTGATCGAGATCATGAACCGATTGATGTTAGACCACCGTTGAAAACCTGGAAGCACTGGACGACCGTTTCGTCCTACTTTAGGACTCCTCAGCAGTGCGCACCTGCGATCCCGTTCGCAAGATCCAGACCCAACGCCTTCAGTCCCCTACGCAAACGCTCAACCTCCAGACCACTGAGCCGACATCCAACGGTCTTAATGTCTAACCTCTACCAATCCACGAAATTGCGCGACCATTTCCCATTGTACTGAGGTAGATACCTGTCTCTACCCGACACTGATTAGTTCCACTGGTCATGGCTTCTTACTAGAACTCCGAGAATTCCTTCATGAAGTTGGTCACTAGTGAGCATATGACAATTAGATTTTCTTTTAACTAATAAGCTAATTACTATAAGTAACAAATTGATTGTAATAAGTAGTATAATATAAATGTTTATTATTATTTTCCGTATCATTTGATACACTTTGTTAATTTGAAAATATATGTAAATAGAAACAAAATATATAAATACTCTGTAAATTTTTAATTACATATCTGTTTTCCTTTCTTCTTGTTCTATTCAATTCGAAATAGTATTATATACAATAATGTAACTAACTTCATAAAAAATTAATAAATTTGATTAGCTGAACAATCAATTACATCACTTAACAGTGCTATAATGCTATTTTGACTAGCTGTTTCCCAATAATCTTCATTATTATTCATTAATAAATTTTTATTATCATTAAATTTTCTACTTGAAACATGATGTGAATTACGTCTATTTCGGCTTTTGAAAGCAACTGACTTGCCTAGTCGATGACGTTCCATATGTTCATTCAGTTTTTGCTAAATATTAGGAGAAAGAAACCAATAAAGAGTAAAGTGGTGAAATAAATAGAATTGAATATTTACTATGTTCATGAAATAGACAAAAGTGACTTCTCACGTCGAATAAGAAAGGAAAAGTGAGATTAAAACTTTTCAGCTACTCATAAGTAATATAGTCGAATAAATATAAATGTCAAATTTAGAATGCTTCTGGACTGTACCACTGTCGACAGCTTGACTGAAATTTCATCAGTCCTAGTAGTTAAACGTGCATACTGTGCGGAATACATTGATATAGCCATTGTGACACAAGTTTATGTGGAATAGATAGACGTTCGCACCTACTGACATGGTTCAGGACTGTCCGTAACTCTTCAATTATAGCTCAGTGTAATACTAAAAAATAAAACAAGTTCTTAAATGTATTATTTCTCACTAAAAAAATTGCCAATGAAGGGAGGCATAGATTACCTCAGTTGCCCTGAAGAGACATATGGATCTTACTTAGTCAACTAGTGAATAATGAGAATTTACACAATCATGAATCACATTTTATTGTACACGTAGCAACTGGAAGCTATGAGAAATGGTGAGAAAAACACCTAATGCTTAGATTCATGAAAATCGTATTTTTGTGTATATATTGACTCAGAGTAGACAGACAAAAAATTCTTAAGGTTTTAAATTATAATCATACGATGATGAGTTGCTGCAAACATTTAACATTAAAAATGATGTTCGCTGAATCAAGGTGACTTAGTGTTCATTTTCCATAGATGTTAATTTGGAATGTAAATACTTAAAAATATTCTGAGATACGTAGAAACATGTACAGTATCAATCAATCTTGAAAAAGCGAACAAACTAAAGGTATATTGCGGAAAAATTCAAAAATAAAATGTTTACTAACGTCGATAAACTGGATTCCGCATTCATGCAATTGACAGCAGACAGTACGACTTGGTAGGCTATATAACAGTTAATAGAATCATCGAAAAAATACATAAGATCAAAAACTAGATCAAATGGTGCTTCAAGTCACAAAGTATCCAACGGACGATTGAGAACTAGTCACGAGGCATACAGTGTCTTATTAGCAAAGTGAAAATCAGTACAACATCCAATGAAATCCAGGGCAGTAAAATACAGTGTTAGATACAAATACAAAGTTATGTATCACATATTTACTGACATTCCTATCGCCGAACGTATCTATCTTGGCACACTAGCCAATCATTTCTCAAGACAAATAAAAATAAAGGACAAGCAGTTGATGAAATAACATATGATTTAGTAATAGACGTTAACAGATAATAATTTTGTATGACAATATATTTTGTCACTAAAATATTCCTATGTATCAAGCTAATAGGCAAACACATGTTACTGCTAAAAATATACTAGATGTCTACTTACTTTGGTAGACAAAAGAACAGGACATCCACGCCATGTACATGGAAACTTAAGGTTAGCATGCACTAAACGCATATGAGCATCTAAATTTCTTTTGGCTGTAAATGCAACAAGACAATCTTTTTCTTGTGAGTTGGAATTATCTTTATCACCCATAACATCAGGTGAGCATAAAGGACAAATAAAACGTCGTCTTACAAACGGTCCACCAGGGGTATGTGTAGATTTGTGTTCTGCTAGTGCAGCAGGTCTTGTAAAACGCATATTACAAGTAGGACATTGCAAAGCTGTGAAAAAATGGTCATGTAATAAGAACAGATACAGTTGAAGTAACGATAGTAGTAACGGCTAATTGTACATACTAATAAATTCATTATTTTTAGTCTAAATCGTCTGAAGTTATCCTTAATTTACATGTTTTGCTAATTTTGATGACTAAAGTACACAGCTTTCAACCAGTAAGTTCAAGGTTTGAGTGCCACTGTACCTACTTCGATTTGGATAGATGGGTAGTAATATCAGCATAAAAATCAATTTAGAAAATTTAAGTCTGTCTGTAGCTATTCCAGGGTTACTGTTGGTAACGAGCCCATACAAAGGAGGAGAGTTGAGTATGGAGTCACCAACCTCATACAGTAGAAAACAACCTTGCTAAACAAACGCTAACCAGAAAAAAAGTGTCAGTAGACCCTAAACATGTAGGATGGTTCAAATCAAACTACATAAATCTACACTTAACAAATGAATTACATTTATATATCAGTATAGGGGTTGTGGAGATTATTAAGTTTTTGATTGAAATCATGAACCGATTGATATTAGACCGCCGTTGGAAACCTGGAAGCGCTGGACGGCCGTTTCGTTCTATTGTGGGACTCCTCAAATAAATTTCCTTAAGAATTCTAATTAAGTGCAGTTAACTAAAATTCCTACACCAGTGTTTAATGATTAGGTAAATTGCATTTCTTAAAAAGAGGAGATTATGTGACGGAAAAGTAAGGTAAACTGTGATGTGAGATGAATACAAATAATCAACTATTTAAAAAATGTCGCACTAGAAAAAGTGTTGGCATTCTTTTAATAAGCTATCATTTTTGAAATAAACCTGTTCCATTTTCAAAGTTGGCATTAGTTGGCATAAGATCAAGCGCCAAATCATATTGTAATTCAATGTGATATATGTACAACATCCATTATCTACAGTACATGATTTTTCCTTATTTTTGTTAATTTGATAGTGAGTCGGAAAAAAGTAGAATCCGCAATGTATGTCCAATCCACTTCCTAATTTCCTCTTCCACTCGAAGCTGATTTGTTCTCTCTCGCAATAGGCTGTTGCTGATGGTATCCGGTCAACGGACATTCAGTATCTTGTGTAGACAATTGTTTAGAAATACTTGTACATTTTCGATTATGGTTGTGGCAGTTCTCCACAATTCAGGTCCGTACAGTGAATCTGTCTTGACGTCCACATTGAAGATTCTGATTTTGATGGTGGCTTGGAGACAGTTGTAATCAGTTTCATATGTTCTTCAATTGTGGAAATGAGGCCCTTGCTTGGCCAATCCTCGCCTTCAAATATACATCGGATCCTCCAAGTTCATCGATGATACTTCCCAGGTACGTGAAAGTTCCCACATCTTCCAGAGTTTCTCCATCAAGTATGATTGGGTTGGTGTTGTCTGTTGTATTTGAGGATCTTGCTTTTTCCTTTGTGTACGTTGAGGCCTACTGATTCAGAGGTTGCTGCTACACTAGTTGCCTTCATCTGCATTTCTTCGTGTGTATGGGATAGAAGGGAAAGGTCGACTGTGAAGTCCAAATCATCTAGTTACGTCCAAGCTGTTTATAGTAATCGTTCTTCCCCATAGATGCGGAAATCTTCATAATCTAGTCAATAACCAGAAGAAAGAGAAAGGTGATAGCAAGTAGCCTTGTGTGACATCGGTCCTGACTTGGAATGCGTTTCAGCTGTACCCCATGCACCACTTTGCACTGTAGTCCGTCGTATGAATCCCAGATGATGTTAACGATCTTCCCAGTTACTCACACCATAGTGTCAAAGAAGGTTCCATAAGAATCTCCTATTCACACTGTCAAACGCCTTCTCATAGTTAAGGAAGTTGATGTATGGTGACGAGTTCCATTCAATGGATTGCTCAACGATGATCCGTAGTGTCGCGATTTGGTCTGTGTATGACCGGTCCCTATGGAATGCAGCCTGTTGATCTCGAAGTTGGGAGTCTAATGAATCTTTCGTGCGGTTCAGCAACACTCTGTTGAAAACTTTTCCTGGTAATGAAAGTAGTGTGATGTCACTGAAGCTGAGTTCTCATATTCGCTCAGATCTTTCTTTCGCATCTTGATGAGGTATCCTTCATTCCAGTTTGTCAGTAGCACTTGTTCTTTTTCCCAAATTTTACGCTACGGACTGATTAGATTGCTTTATACTGACAAGTTTTTTTAATAATCCCACTAGATAGTTCATTAAATTGTTGATGCAATCATTCAAACACTTTTTTCTTACTTCAATGCTGATGGGGATGCTAGATCCCCAGAAATGACTCGGTTGATTTCGTAGTTTTGTAATTTTATTTTGAAGATTTGAATTTCTCGTTTTCACGCCAAAAGCGCCCATTTTTACCTCCAGCTTACATTTCCCACTTGACTGGACCTTAGATGTCATTAGTTGGTTGCTCTTTTAATAAGCTACTTTATAACGTTTCCCAAGGACATTTATATGCTGTATGTGTACGCTTGAGTTGTGTGCTTGTTGTTCGTGCTTTTGGCTTATCTCTCTAGTTAGAGGGGCTGAGACGCATTGGAATATTTTAGCTGTCTTGTTATTGTGTAACTGATCCTTCGTTCTGTTCGCCAATCTCAAGTGACCTTGTAATCTCCTCAAAAATGGTAAATACTTAGTTGATTAAAAATGGACATAAATAATTTTTTCGTTAAAAAATAATTCTTCTTAACTAGATTGCAGAGGTTGTCATTTATGTTCCCGGCGCTCAGTAACATCCAAACTATTAGGGAGAGACAACCGTATTCACTGCCCATTTCATCACAGTCACTAATAGCTGACAAACTAACTGTACTGAGATCTACACGACTGAAGAGATTCTACGTAGTGGGCAGATACAGAGACATCAAGCAAATAATACTCAAAGACACTTCGACAACAACAATTAAAAGGAGGGAAGTTCGGACTATGCGAGAAACTTTGGTGTCATGAAGTAAGCACTCCATATATGGCTTTTACATGACCTTTGTTGGCAGGCTATAGATTGGATTAAAGGACGTTCGGTGCAAGATTGCGATCAGACACATTGATTGGCTATTTCCCAGCCCTTCAGTGCTAGCGGAGACTTGAAGAAGACCCTAGAATCTTCTCGTGTAAAAACTATAAATGCACTGACGTTTTTCTTCGTGCCATTCCTACTTCCATCTACCCTTGTTATTTGGAATATAATTTCATTCCTGTTCAACAGTGTTCTGACTTGGGGACTTGTCAAGTGAATTGGTGTCTGAGAATACTAAGCAATAGGAATAGATGGGTTGTAATAAGAGAAATTATAACACAACCTTAGAGAGAAAGCAAAATCAAAACAGTTGAACAAGAAGAAAAATATATAAGAGTAGCTAACTGGAAGTAAACTATGATATTAACACTAGTGTTTTGAGAAAACATAAATATATTTTATCAAAGTAATAAGCAACAAAACCTCGTGAAGTAAATAAACGCACAAAGGTTCAAGTAACTTACGTGTTTTGGGGTGAGCTTCAGCAATATGGCGTCTCAAACACGCAAAACTTTCAAATTGAATGGGTTTGAGAGCAACTGATTTTTCGTCTTCAGGGTTTTCAGATAGTTGTTCAGAGCACAGCTTACATGTGTAACCATGATGTTTTGATGAATGACGTTTAAGCTTAGATGCCGTAGGAAACGCTCGATCACATTTGTCACATACATGCTTCCGTTCGCTTGAATAATGTATTAATGTAAAATAGATGATATATATAGTTTTATTAAGAAACTTCATATTAGGTTTCCCACTTCCTGGATAAGATGATTGACAGTATCACAAATCAATTGATTCTCTTATAAGTGTGCATATCAACTACAACGGTTAGGATTCCCCCAAATTCCCTGGTACGGCCGAGAGTGGGGAGAGTCCGCTCTCCCTCTCGAAATGCTCTCACATGGCCATGCCAGGGAAGTCCTACTCATTGCCTTCTCGTGGCGGGGGTGTTGTTTACGAAAATGGGAGGACGAAAGCGAATGTCCGGCGCTTTAACCGGATCACAAACCAATGGTGCACATGGGCTTCAGTATCCTGTGGGAACAAATGGTGTAATAACCAATCGTTGGTCACCGTCTACCATGGGACTGCATCTCCTTACGATGCTCCACTGCCTTGTGGGTTAGACGTTTATGTCAAAGGCTCGGGGTGCGGCCCCCTAAGATAACCACCTGCTTCGGTTTGGGCACCCGGGCAGTATCACAGCCCACACACAAATATGATGAACTGCCTATAATTATGGAAACTACTTTACTTGCTTCAACTAACAATCAAATGATTTAAATGATTATTATTATTATCATTATTATTATTATTATTTACCATATTATTCACCCTCTTTTATATTTAGATGGTGGTTGGAGGTAGTCAACAGGAAACCTCCAACCTCCATCTAAATCTCAATACATATTGTCCGCAGTGTCGAGTCACTTAGACTGGTGGCCACATTGCAACATGATCGATAGCATTTGATCTGAACTAATAAGGACTAGACAAGCATGACATTGATTACCACCCAGTGATCAATCAATTGTGACCCTCTTTTATACTTATACAGCGGCTCGTCTTTGGTGAAACATACCCAATTACTTTCTGCCTGAACACCTACTCTTTTAGACGACAGCTCAGTTCAATTCAAGTCGGACCTATAATAGTGATAATTAAACTACAAAAATTCCTCACCGTCAACTTTCTAAGATGGAGTTTGAAAAGCTTCAACTAGATTCACAACCACTCTACTAATTAACAATAGCGAACTAATTTGCACGATAATTTGGGAGCTTACAACGGAATTCATCAAACGACATTTAAAAGAATCACAAATCGAAATGAGCATTTATGATGAGGTGACACCAGAGACACTCCCCATGACATCCCAGAGAATCCTACATCGTGAATTAATTACAGACACTAGGACACGTTGTAAAAAGGAGAGGTGGCCCGTTTATGATATGATGTCGTGATATGGGAGATAGCAGTACAGAACTGGGATCTGTCGAACTCACGACTCCCTGTAGTGTCGGTTATTATGTTTAGTCCATATACCTTATTCTAGCTTTCAGACAGGTCAATCTACTCATTCTACTTGAGTCACATTCTCACCTTGTTATTTATTCGCTTATCAATCTTGACTGCTTTTATATGAGCGCATATGTGTGTGTACATTTCGTATCCTATTCACCACATGTCTGTAGCCTATGAATATTGATTAACGCTTGACTAAATGGAGTTGGCTTCTGACTTTTCGTGACTTAATGTTAGCCACTTTTCCAGAGTAAATAACTAACTGAATTCGGTCAGATCTACTCACATGAATATAATAGAAAACAGATTTATTATTAACGTTATTAGTTAAAAGTTTACAATTGCTACTAAAAGAATGCCTCCATTGGAGAAAAATACTGCAGTCTTTAGCTTAAACATTTGATCCAGTTTACTGAAAATATGTTATACAGAAAAATATAACCGCATAGACTCAGTGGTACATTTTTACAGATATTTTAGGACCAACTGAATACATTTTTTCCAGAAAAGTTTCTCTGATAAAAGGAGTGTATCTAAGACTGCCCGATAAAATATAGCACCTTATCTACACTTCAGTTCAATTTTGTTAAGCCTTTCAATTAACATGTTTGACAGTGTCATCCCAACAGTAATAATTTATTTAAACCTTTTTAAAATAATCATCATGTCTGTATGAACATCAATGGACTGTATTCAATGCCTCGTATTGTCTCTTGAAATTTATATACCGATGAGAGCTATGTAATAACGGTTAACAGGATGAGTGATATACAAAGTAGTAGAAATTATCCCGAATATAATCCACTACAGGCATACAAGTGAGAAAGAAAAGCAGCGAATCATACAGTTACACTCATTTTCTGCGAATGAAATCGTATTAATTGTACTCATGGATATTAAATAGTTGAGTATAGTCTCACCACGACTATATGCAAACATGAAACGGAACAAACTAAGTTAATACACTGTTAGCAACCGAATACTTAAATGTACATGAAGGAGTGAATCATGCCACTTTAGTTCATTCAATTGGTACTTCTGTATAGCCCCTGAAACTGACGTAGGTAATGAAAACTAATTTTTGATCCAGTGGTTGAAGACCATTTAAATAAGAAAAGAATAAGAGTCATACATAAACGTAAGATGAACTTTTTACAAATAGTAGTAACAAAACAAAAATGGTAGCACCTACCCATGAACTACAGCCATATGAGCCGATACCATTTTCTTTTTTTGAAAAGGTCCAGCAGAACATTGTGAACACGAATAGGTTTTTTCGACTCTTACTGGCTCCTTTTGATTAGATAAGTTGTTTTCTGGAATAGTTTTGGGACATTTTGAAGCGTGACGAGTTAAATGTTGTTTCCGTGTATAGTTTTTACCACAAATACACACATATGGACGCTAGCAGTGGAGTGAACAATGAGAAAAGATGGATTTGTTAACTTTACGAACGCTATGCTGAACAAGACTTGAACTGAGTCATTTCACAGGTTTCGCCAACACACACACCGATGTATATTGGGAATTTCGTCGCCGTAACGCGACATGTATTAATTATTGTTTGTTATTATACAACACAAATGTCCAAACAGAAATAGGTAAAACAGGACCAAATAGATAAAGGCTGAACAGTTTAACCATCAACTACTCATAAAGTTATAAATGACCTGTAGAATGATCATGAGTGGGCACGAAAATCTAGTTTAAACAGTATTAATTACTTTCCTATTTCGGAAGTCAACTAGACTAGTTATTTTAAAAACTAAACAGACATTCAGCATAAGAAAAACTGGCGGAATTATTGTTATTGATTGACACTGTGCGATTCGTCACAAAGCTCAGAAAATATAATTTGATTTTTACCAACAGGGAGTTTAATTTATTGTAATCTAACTGCATAACATACAAAGCAAGCTTGGTTAGACATAAAATCGAAAAAATCCTTAGCATATGCAAAGTGATATTAACTTATTTATTTATTTGAACATATAAATATTAGTACAAAAGGGCACCGAATACATATGCACCACACAAGTCACTTAATGTGTGTGTAGGCTGTGATACTACCCGGGTTCCCAAACTGAAGCAGGTGGTTTTCTTACTGGGCCACACTCGGAGTTCTCGACCAAAAGATCTGATCCGTAAGGCAGTGGAGTAACGTCAGGAGATGCAATCCCATGGTAGCCGATGACCAATAATTGGTTCATACTCCATTTGCTCCCTCAGGAAACTGGAGTCCATGTGCACCATTGATTTGGAATCAGGGTTTTCCAACTCACCTAGGTGGATCCTCTATATCCACCAACTCGGTTAAAGTGCCGGATATTCGCTTTTCCTCCTCTCAATTTCGTAAACATCCCCGCTGTGAGAAGGCGGTGAGTAGGACTACCCTGGCAGTGGCTGTATACGCGTGGCCATGTGAGAGCATTTAGAGAGGGAGAGCCGACTAACATCAGATAAATCCTAGATTATTGTTCAATGCAGAGTTAGGGTACATTTACCTGTTTTTTACCAGTTAAATTAAGAAAAATGAAGGTAGACATATTTATTTTTAAAACAGCTCCAATTCACAAAAACCGATTATTAGCAACCATGAAAAAGCACACTAGGATAAGCTACATAAACTGTGTGGAGAAAACCGAGATTACTAATAAGCGGTATTATTCTTCCGAGGAGTAAGATTTGGACCTATTATCCAGAAGTTAGCAGTTGAAGATTTAAATGAACAAGTCACTTTATTTACTCTGAAACAAGTGGCTTACATTAAGTCGCGAAACGTCAGAAATACAATTTTCTACTCATTGGGATATCACGAAAACATCTGGGTCAGCCTCGTCTTCACTTAGGTAGTTGTGAAGACGAGGCTGACCCAGATGTTGCTTGGAAGGGCATACAATCAGCTGTGGAAACAGCAGTGACATATATTAGTGACTTAAACCACAGAGTTGCAAGGAACCAGTGGATTTCTTCAAGGTCTGTCACACTGATGGATTCTCGTAAACTCGTCCCATCAGGTTCTGAACATGATGAAGAGCGAAAACAAATCAGATCTAGGTTAAGAAAAAGTCTAAGGAACGACCGTGAGCAGTGGTGGGTAACGAAAGCAAAAGAGATGGAAAAGGCGGCGACTATAGGGAACACAAGACAGCTTTACAGACTAATAAAAGAAACTGGAATTAATAAGTCAAGTGTAGGTGAGATTATTTCGGAAAAAGATGATACTCTCATCTGCTCCCAGTCCAGACGTTTAGAACGATGGGCGGAACATTTCAGAGAACAGTTCAGCTGGCCTTCAGCTACTGTACAACTACCCTCCATTCCCAGACAGTGTGAATGGAACATTGAAGTAGGTCCCCCAACTCTTGCTGAAGTTCAAAAGGCTATAGTTAATCTGAAACGAGGAAGGGCAGCTGGTCCAGATGGATTGGCTCCAGAGGTCTTTAAGGATGGTGGTCCAATTTTAGCGATTAGGTTGACTAATATTTTAGCTAAGATCTGGGAATTAGACTTTATCCCATCTGACTGGTCGCAATCACTTATCGTCCCAATATATAAGAAAGGGTCAAAATCATCCTGTGACAACCACAGAGGGATTAGTTTAACAAACATAGTATCTAAAATACTGGCCTCGATAATTATCAAACGCTTAACTAAGACTCGTGAACTACAAACTCGAGAGAACCAAGCTGGCTTTAGACCTGGTCGTGGCTGCATCGACCACATATTCACCATTCGTCAGGTTCTAGAACACAGGCATACCTATCGGCGTCCGACGATGGTGGTCTTTCTTGACTTAAAAGCAGCATTTGATTCTGTAGACCGCGAGACTCTGTGGCAGTGTCTGTCATTGAAAGGCGTACCTCAGAAGTACATAAACCTTGTGAAGGCTCTTTACTCGAACACTACTAGTCGAGTCAGGGCTTATGGCGAACTGTCATCTACTTTTGCAACTTCAAGTGGTGTCCGTCAAGGCTGTCCGCTTTCTCCATTTTTGTTTAACTTCATCATAGACCTATTGATGGAAATAACACTCTCGTCGACTGAATTCTCGGGTATTGATCTCCTTCCAGGAGGTCCACTTATCGACTTAGAATACGCAGATGACATAGTCCTGTTTGGTGAAGACGCTGACAAAATGCAGAGTCTTCTGGTAGCACTGAGCAACAATGCCAGGATGTTTGGAATGCGCTTCTCTCCCCCTAAATGCAAGTTGTTGCTTCAGGACTGGTCTGCGTTAACACCTGAACTAAGGATAGGGAGTGAAGTAGTCGAACGCGTCGACAACTTCACTTATCTTGGAAGTCTGATCAGCCCTAATGGGTTGATATCGGACGAAATCTCAGCACGGATTCGAAAGCTCGTTTGACTTTTGCCAACCTGCGTCACCTATGGCGAAGGCGAGATATCCGTCTATCAATAAAAGGACGAGTATACTGCGCGGCAGTCCGTTCTGTTTTAAGTTACGGCAGCGAAACATGGCCATTAAGAGTAGAAGACACCCGTAAGCTATTAGTATTTGACCACAGATGCCTTAGAAATATTGCTGGCGTCTGCTGGGATCACCGGGTAAGTAATAGTGAGGTTAGACGCAGGGTATTAGGGAATGATGGTAAATCAGTTGATGAGGTTATGAATCTTCATCGACTGAGATGGTTGGGCCACGTATTACGTATGCCTGAACACCGATTACCACGACGTGCAATGCTATCCGGTATTGGAAATGGTTGGAAGAAAGTTAGGGGCGGCCAAACCAAAACGTGGCATCAGTGCTTGAAGTCACTAACTTCTAGTCTGAGCCATGTTGGTAGATGCAGACTACTTGGTTGGGGTCCGCGTGACTATCGTAACCAATGGTTGGAGACTCTTGGTGACATGGCTCAGAATCGATCACAATGGCGTCGGTGTATACACTCCCTGTCTTCCCTTAAACTAAGAGATTAAAATCGCTTCATATCTTTCTTTCTACGAACTAATTCTTTCTTCCTATACTATATCCTTATTGCAACCTTTGACCTAACCACTCCTATGAATCCGGTGTTCATCTTGCTGTGCTAATGAGGTATGGCAACCTGAACCGATGCACATATGTGCCTGGTCCTACGTTGTAGCTGACTGACTGACTTCAACACTAAACTTCCTCCTTCGGCTTCCTCCTCAAGTGTCACCATAGCCAACGATTCTAGTGCTCAAAACTCTGTCCCAGGTCTACTGAAACCTCGCTCCAAACTACACATTGGAGCTTTCAACGTACGCACTCTATGTCAAATCGGTCAGCAGGCTTCTTTGGCTAAAACCCTAGAGTCTCTTTCCATTGATGTATGCTGTGTCTCCGAAACACGCATACAGGATTGCAGTGTGGTCATTCACTTGACCTCACCTCGGCAAAACGGAGAGCCAACGAGATACACCCTACGTGTATCTGGTGACCCGATGGCCAGTTCTCGTGGACTGGCAGGTGTAGGCATAGCACTAAGCATGAGGGCGGAACAAGCACTGCTAGAGTGGATCCCCGTCAACAGTCGTCTATGTGCTGTTCGGCTGAACGGCTACGTAAGAACTCGGAAGGATAGGGACACACGTCGTTGCCTTTTTGTCGTTTCTGCCTACGCTCCCACTGACTGCAGCTCAGATGAAGTGAAAGATGAATTTTACAGAAAGCTGTCCGAACTTCTTCAGAAAGCTAAACGCTCAAACATAATACTCGTAGGGGGTGACTTTAATGCTCAGATAGGTAGTTTAAACCAAACACAAAGGCTTTTAGGTGGATATTTTAGCATTCCGGCACAGCGAACAGATAATGGTGACCGTCTGCTGAAACTGTGTTCAGACAATCGCTTATTTTTAGCAAACACAAATTTTAAGCATAAGGAGAGACATAAGGAGAGAGGCATAAGGAGAGACATCGTCTAACGTGGCGACCGCCTGCACCAAACCAACGATGGACTCAAATAGACCATATTGCCATCAGTCATCGTTGGAGAGGGTCGGTAGAAGATTGTCGCTCATTCTGGAGTACCTGCTTGGACTCCGACCATGCCCTAATACGGGCACGCATCTGCTTGCGCCTCACTGGACGCAAAAAAGCCACAGTAAAAAGACCCATTAGAACCAAACTGAGTAGCGAGGAAACCAAAAGTAGGTTCCAGGAACAACTGAGGTCACGATTAGGTTGTTCTGAAGACGAGGCTGACCCAGATGTTGCTTGGAATGAAATACAGGCAGCTGTGGAAACAGCAGTGACATCTATTAGCGACTTAAACCACAGAGTTTCAAAGAACCAGTGGATTTCTTCAAAGTCTATCACACTGATGGATTCTCGCAAACTTGTCCCATCAGGTTCCGAGATTCTGTGGCAGTGTCTGTCATTGAAAGGCGTACCTCAGAAGTACATAAACCTTGTGAAGGCTCTTTACTCGAACACTACTAGTCGAGTCAGGGCTTATGGCGAACTGTCATCTACTTTTGCAACTTCAAGTGGTGTCCGTCAAGGCTGTCCGCTTTCTCCATTTTTGTTTAACTTCATCATAGACCTATTGATGGAAATAACACTCTCGTCGACTGAATTCTCGGGTATTGATCTCCTTCCAGGAGGTCCACTTATCGACTTAGAATACGCAGATGACATAGTCCTGTTTGGTGAAGACGCTGACAAAATGCAGAGTCTTCTGGTAGCACTGAGCAACAATGCCAGGATGTTTGGAATGCGCTTCTCTCCCCCTAAATGCAAGTTGTTGCTTCAGGACTGGTCTGCGTTAACACCTGAACTAAGGATAGGGAGTGAAGTAGTCGAACGCGTCGACAACTTCACTTATCTTGGAAGTCTGATCAGCCCTAATGGGTTGATATCGGACGAAATCTCAGCACGGATTCGAAAGCTCGTTTGACTTTTGCCAACCTGCGTCACCTATGGCGAAGGCGAGATATCCGTCTATCAATAAAAGGACGAGTATACTGCGCGGCAGTCCGTTCTGTTTTAAGTTACGGCAGCGAAACATGGCCATTAAGAGTAGAAGACACCCGTAAGCTATTAGTATTTGACCACAGATGCCTTAGAAATATTGCTGGCGTCTGCTGGGATCACCGGGTAAGTAATAGTGAGGTTAGACGCAGGGTATTAGGGAATGATGGTAAATCAGTTGATGAGGTTATGAATCTTCATCGACTGAGATGGTTGGGCCACGTATTACGTATGCCTGAACACCGATTACCACGACGTGCAATGCTATCCGGTATTGGAAATGGTTGGAAGAAAGTTAGGGGCGGCCAAACCAAAACGTGGCATCAGTGCTTGAAGTCACTAACTTCTAGTCTGAGCCATGTTGGTAGATGCAGACTACTTGGTTGGGGTCCGCGTGACTATCGTAACCAATGGTTGGAGACTCTTGGTGACATGGCTCAGAATCGATCACAATGGCGTCGGTGTATACACTCCCTGTCTTCCCTTAAACTAAGAGATTAAAATCGCTTCATATCTTTCTTTCTACGAACTAATTCTTTCTTCTTGTACTATATCTCTATATGCAATCTTTCTCTTACATATTACTACCTTTGATCTAACCACTGCTATGAATCCGGTGTTCATCTTGTTGTGCTGATGCGGTATGGCAACCTGGACCGATGCACATATGTGCCTGGTCCTACGTTGTAGCTGACTGACTGACTGACATTAAGAACAAGTCATAGGTCTACCAAGGTAATACGAAAACAAGCCGATATCACCTAGAAATCTCGTACAGACACATCGAGGGATAATTCATATTTAAATGGTATTTTGCGTAGATAAGACTCAATAACAGCAATTTTTAGTAATAGTCGAAAGCACAGTAAATTCCTCTAGGTGTACTGATAAAACGAGGCAATTGCTCAGTAAACCAATTACACAACAATGCCAGATTAATAAATCTGTCAGCTAGTATTTTTGACATATCTTAGCATCAAATTAGAAAGAAAAATTTACAAGTGTTAAGATATGTAAGAGTAACTACTTTGCTGACTAAATACGAGAACTTATCTGAAATGGTGGAACTTGGGAAAGACTATCAGGAAAGCAATGAAATATCAGGAGGTTTACGGGGATACAATCAATAAAACTTGTTTCAAGTGGACCAAGAGTTTCCGTAGGAGCCATGATGACTACAACGACGTCCAGATGATCATCAAGCTCTTCAGTTGATGAGAATATGGAATTTTTCAGGTCCTTAGCCCTCTTTAATTGCCAATTTACTATCTACAAGGTCATCTATGAACTGCATTTAGGAACACCGTTGGAACAAATCATTCTAGAAAAACTTGAAACGAGGAAGCTAAACAGCCTAACTTCTGAAGAGTTTCATGGATGTTGAGGACGGAGATGAGACAGACGCATTTCAATAAATTAAGAATATACTGAAGGGAATAAAACTGATGTACTCCGGGTTTTATTAAACAAAATTTCCATGAACTCAGACCGTATATTCAATGGATGGAATACATATGTTGTTATGAAGAGTTTCATGTACATTTCTAATAGGGTTTTATGAATTAAGCATTTCTGAGAATTAATGCGGACTCGTACAGAGCGAGACAATAACTAGTTTTCACTATGGGTCGATGATTTGGTAGTCCTAAAAGTATTCGAGATGTAAATAAGTATCTAGCTTAAAGACCAGATCTTAAGACAAAATTTACCATATATGACAGGGATATCTGCCGACGAACTCTCAATATATGATGGATAAAATATATTACAACCCTGGTTAACTGATAGTACATATATGACGCACAGGATATAATAAGAAAATCTGTTAGATTGTTTAAGATTGTAACAAGTGTTAATAACTAACCAACCTGGGCGAATCTTAAAGCCAGTTTCATATCACTAAACTAGGTGGTACCTCTAATCAGAGACAAAAAATGTAGCACAAAGCTTAGTGCTTTAAACCACTTATTTACTAAACTGTATTACCATAGCTTTAATCTCAACAGCCGTCAATCACTTAGGGTAAAAAAGTAATGTTCGAAACTGGGTAAAAACATTTTGCAAAAGAATCAATAAGTAGTGGTCTCGTTATTTAAAAGTAACTTGAAATACGTTTTACCTCTCCAGTGTGGATTCTCAGATGTGCCTCAAGTCGAGATGGTTTTCCGAAGCACATATCACAAAATGTACAACAAATGCGCGTCATTCTAGTTTACTTTGATACATTCTTAAAATTTCATTGTTTGATACGGTACGTAAACCTATAAAATGAAGAAAACCAAATACAATAAACTGTTTCTTGCAAATGTTGCAGAACTTAAATATCCAGGTACGGTTTAACAGTTCTCAATAGTGTCCAACTAACGTTATGCTTATCATACCTGAACGTGCTTAACAAGATTTTGACAACTAGACACTTGTAATAGTACTCATACGATAAATATGAATCATGGCCCAAAGACTTCAAATCCCCTGTTAGTCACAAGTATCGTAAAACCTGACACAATTTTTCATCAGTGCAAGTTTCAACATCACATCATTACGAGATGAAATTACCAAGATGAATACCAAGGTAGTATAATTAAAAGTATCAGTGACAGAAAAAACATTGGGTATAGAAAATATGACTAACGATGAGTGGAAGAACAAAGGGTACAAAGTAATTTTATAACTTTGGATCATGTCACTAAGCATCTTCAATTATTTGTTACAATAAGCGGGCAGACCTCAACCTGATAGTTTGCACCTCCCTATATGGTTCAGTAAGATAGTGTTTTCATAGACCAGATTCACGTCCTGGTCTAGACACTAGCTTTTTCAAACTCGCTTCTACTACAGCAAGTATCGCGCGTCCAGGTACGCAATCTTGACCACCTCAATCAACGAAGACTCATTATCTTATCAACCGATTTGACATTTTTACCCAGTGCCCTATATCCAATCTCAGCATCTTACCTTTTGACTCAAACAGGTGAACAATCCTTCGAAGGCATCTATGATCAAATTATTATTATTATTTTAACACATAGATATTGGTACAAGGAGGCACCAAATATATATGCGCCACACAAATCTCATTCGATATGTGTGAGGGCTGTGAGACTGCTCGGGTGTCCAAACTGAAACAGGTGGTTTCCTTAGGGGGCCACACCCCGAGCCTTCGACCTGAAGGTCTGATCCACAAGGCAGTGAAGCATCGTAAGGAGATGCAGTCCCATGGTAGACGGTGCCCCCGAATGCCCTGGTACGGCCGAGAGTGGGGAGAGTCCGTCCTCCCTCTCGAAATACTCTCACACGGCCATGCGTATATAGCCTCTGCCAGGGAAGTCCTACTCATTGCCTTCTCGTGGCGGGGGTGTTGTTTACGAAAATGGGAGGACGAAAGCGAATGTCCGGCGCTTTAACCGGATCACAAACCAATGGTGCACATGGGCTTCAGTATCCTGTGGGAACAAATGGTGTAATAACCAATCGTTGGTCACCGTCTACCATGGGACTGCATCTCCTTACGATGCTCCACTGCCTTGTGGGTTAGACGTTTATGTCAAAGGCTCGGGGTGCGGCCCCCTAAGATAACCACCTGCTTCGGTTTGGGCACCCGGGCAGTATCACAGCCCATACACAAATGATGAACTCTCTATGCCTATGGAAATTACTTTTCTCGCTTCGAAAATCAATCAATTGATTCAAATTATTATCATTACAATTACTGTCACTATTAATACTATTATTACTATTACTACTATTATTGTCATTATTATTATTATTATTATTATTATTATTATCCACATTATTCACCCTCTTTTATACTTATACAGCGGTTCGTCTTTGGTGGAAATCCGACTGTATCTAAACGTTCTCGAGTCACTGTCCGGTTGAAAATTGTATGTTACCACCGAATACAAGGACTGAAGCAGTTTTTCTGAAACCACGTGCATCATTCAAACTGGCTGCCTTCAACGTTCGCACATTTATGCAGGTCGGACAACAGATAGGGCTGGCTATGTCTTTGGAAAGTCTTAATATTGATGTTTGTTGTCTATCGGAGACCCGTATTCAAGACTCTGGCGAAGTACTACAAATTCGACCTCTATCTGTCTCTTCGAAAAGCTTGTTTTACGTGCGCTTATCCGGGGACCCTGTGGCATCTTCGTCTAGTCTTGCTGGCGTTTGTGTCGCACTAAGCGCTAGATCTGAGGCAGCACTAGTCGATTGGATCCCCATTAACGGTCGGTTATGTGCTGTTAGAATAGAAAGTTCCATCAAAATGAGAAGAAATCGGCGTGAGAAACGATGTCTTTTCGTCATCTCCGCCTATGCCCCGACAGATTGCAGCCCGGATGCAATCAAGGATGAATTTTACTACCAGTTACCTGTTCTTCTCCAGAAAGTGCGTTCGACAGATATTGTGGTACTAGCCGGAGACTTGAATGCTCAGGTCGGGCGTCTAGGCACAGAAGAGAGTCGTTTAGGTGGCCGATGGAGACTCGTTGGTCGCAGGTCAGATAACGGGGACCGTCTACTGCAACTGTGCACAGACCACAACCTGTTTCTGGCTAGCACTAACTTTCAGCACAGTCATCGCCGATGTGCCACCTGGCGTCCTCCCTCTGCATCTCAAGCCTGGACTCAGATTGATCACATCGCGACCAGCTACCGCTGGCGTGGTTGTGTACGAGACTGCCGCTCCTTTTGGAGTACCTATCTGGACTCTGACCATGCCTTGGTCTGTGCCAATCTTGCCTTACTTTTCAGTGGACAACGAAGTGACCGCCATCAACTGATTGATATTAGCAAGCTGGTTGCAACTTCTGTTGCAAGTAAGTATCGAACCGAGCTAGCCTCTAGGCTAGCTACCACTCCACCGAAAAGTATAGATGAGCATTGGTTGCAATTGCGTGACGCCATGAAAATGGCGGGTACAGTCAGTTGTGGGTTCGCGAAACGTCCCGCTTATAAGCACTGGGTTTATGCAGGTTCCTTACAACTCATCGAAGCCCGTCGGTCTACTCCGGGTGACCGTGAGTTTGACCATAAACGAAGGATGTTACGTACTGAAATTGGGCAAAGCTTGTGTAAGGACCGAGAAGCCTGGTGGTCGAAGCGTGCTAATGAGCTGGAAGCAGCAGCTGCATCTGGTAACTACCGGAAGCTCTTCCAACTGATCCGAGCCACTGACGGCAAGAAGTCTGGTGTGAGTGAAACAATCTGCGAGGATGATCGGATGCCAATCACTAACATCCATCGACGTCTTGGACGATGGGCAGAATTTTTTGAAGGGCATTTCAACTGGCCTGCTGCTCCGGCAACATCGGTCAGATTGTCCTGCCCTCCATGGCCGGTGACGACTGACCCACCAAACGAGGAGGAAGTCCGCAAGGAACTCCAACTCTTGAAGCGTTACAAATCACCTGGCCCAGATGACTTACCTCCGGCTCTTTTTAAAGATGGTGGTGACTTTTTGACTAAGGAATTGACGACGTTGTTTACAAAGGTCTGGGAACTAGAGAGTGTACCAACGTCATGGAATGAGTCGATAGTTGTCCCTATCTTTAAAAAGGGTTCACGTCGTTCCTGTAACAACTTTCGGGGGATAAGTCTACTTCCGATTGCGTCCAAGCTATTGGCTTCCGTCATACTTCGTAGGTTGTTCAAAACCCGAGAAAGATTGACTCGCGAGGAGCAGGCTGGGTTTCGTTCTGGTCGAGGATGTATTGATCATATCGTCACCCTCCGCCAAATGTTAGAACACCGCCATACTTATCAAAGGCCAACAATCGTAGTGTTTCTCGACATCAGGGCTGCCTTCGATTCATTGGACAGGGCTGTTCTCTGGGATTGTCTATTGAAGAAGGGTGTGCCTGAGAAGTTTATTAACATCCTAAAAGCCCTATATACAAACACCTCAGGCAGAGTGAGGGCATACAACCACCTTTCTCCATTGTTCCATTCGAGCAGTGGGGTTAGGCAGGGTTGCCCAATCTCACTATTCCTCTTCAACTTTGCCATCGATGACATTCTGGAAACAGCTCTGATGAATGTAAGTAATGGTGGTGTGGATCTGTTGCCTGGAGAAATACTTCTCGACCTTGAGTATGCGGACGATATTGTCTTACTGTGCGATAATGCCCAAGCCATGCAATCCGCATTTAATCAGTTGACAATCAGTGTCCGTAGGTATGGTATGTACTTTGCACCTTCCAAGTGCAAAGTACTTCTACAAGACTGGCAGGATTCCAATCCTGTACTCACCCTGGATGGTGAGCAGATAGAAGTAGTCGAGAAGTTCGTGTATCTAGGTAGCTGCATAAGTGCTGGTGGGGGTGTGAGTGATGAGATCAATGCACGAGTAGTGAAAGCCAGAGCGGCTTATGCCAATCTGGGCCACCTTTGGCGCCTTCGTGAAGTTAGTCTGGTTGTAAAAGGTCGGATCTACAACGCGTCGGTGAGAGCAGTTTTGCTCTATGCTTGTGAAACCTGGTCTCTCCGAGTTGAGGATGTTAGACGACTCTCTGTGTTCGATCATCGCTGTCTCCGAAGGATTGCTGACATTCAGTGGCAACACCATGTCAGTAATGCAGAGGTTTGGCATCGTGTGTTCGGGCACAGAGATGATAATTCAATTGGTGTCACCATCTTGAAACACCGACTTCGGTGGCTTGGACATGTTCTCCGAATGTCGTCCCAGAGAATTCCACGTCGTGCATTATTTGCCGACTCTGGGACTGGTTGGAAGAAGCGGAGAGGTGGTCAGTGCATGACATGGTGTCGTGGTATGAAAGAAAGCTGCAAAGGACTGGCTTCTGTCGGTCCTTCACGACTCCCTGGTTGGGGTCTGAGAGATGGTGCAACACAGTGGCTAGAGACGTTATCAGATATGGCTCAGAATAGAAGCCAGTGGCGATCCTGATGTAATCTTTTACTTTCTTCATAAAAAGTGGTTGTGTCTCCCTTACCTGAAAGATTTCTTCCGATTGTACCTTTGCGTTCCTTCATTACTACCACACTACCTTACACCAATCTCTTCGTTATTGTTCTCTTTTTTTCTATTTCTCCGAATTCTCATTGTTTTGTGTGGCGCATATATATTGGCGCTCTCTTGTACCAATATTTATGTGTTCAAATAAATAAATAAGACGGTGACCAACGATTGGTTATTACACCATTTGTTCCCACAGGATACTGAAGCCCATGTGCACCATTGGTTTGTGATCCGGTTAAAGCGCCGGACATTCGCTTTCGTCCTCCCATTTTCGTAAACAACACCCCCGCCACGAGAAGGCAATGAGTAGGACTTCCCTGGCAGAGGCTATATACGCGTGACCATGTGAGAGCATTTCGAGAGGGAGAGCGGACTCTCCCCACTCTCGGCCGTACCAGGGCATATCTTCCCTAGTCAAAGGGTAAAACGGAGAAAACTGCTGTACAACATAAAGACATTTTGTCTACGCTATGAGTGATGCAAGTCGGTCGGGGAAGCTTTTTGAATTCGTTATACAACAACGCACCAAATTAGAGAGACTTCCAAGATGAGTAAAGTGATTTAAGCTCTCGACTGCCCATGTTTATATGACCAGTTTGGGCACTGATGCAGACTAATCCTGAAGTAATATTTCGCATTTAGATGGAAAGTCACTAGAAACATGTTTGGTTTGATCAAGATGATTAAAAGACCAATTTTCCAGTTTTCATCGCTATGCAATAGGCTGATCGGGTTTCGCATAGCAGTCGAAACGAACTGATGATGACAAAAATTGGAGTCAAAACAAATACTGACGGAAACCGGAAATTTACTCCTATGACACTTAACCTTAAATTTTGATTTTCATTTCAATGACTCATGAATATTTTTTATTTTGGTTGCTTTCTATTACCGACAACCTTTTCTTAAGGGATCCGGTATATATGTAAGCAGCCTACATATGTGACCATATAAATTGGACTGATGTTTTCGAATTGATTGTACAGTTTTAGGAAGAGTTGGCCATTTTAAATCGACTTTCCATACATTGAACGCTGTTCGTTTGCTCGATAAACTATAGCAGCATAAATATGGCTACGTAACCACTATGTGTGAAGTACATATAAGTAGAATAATGCCCTCCAGAGTGAAGACTACCTGATGAACAGGCAGCCACGTAGATTATATTGGATGGGATATCCTGAATTAAAGCTTGTGAGATTATGGACTCCAACAATTCTAGTCATTTGAATTGTCTAACCAGTGTTTAATTCATCGAATTTCTTAAAGAATGAACTGATGTCAATCAAAATAAGGCTTCAAACCAGTTGGACTAGGACTGTGATTCATTAAAAACGAAATCATCTACTCTGAATTCAAAGCGAGGGCATACAATCATGATGAATAACACGTCGATCGCGTTTAAAGTGTTCATCTGATATAATTTAAGTGTCTTATTAAAAATAATTTTATTGACTAACTGATGATTTTTGAATGACCAGAAAATCGTCAATAAGCCGATATAATATAACTACCAACAGAATATGGACAGGAACCTAAATATGTTCCATTATGGAATTTGAATAAAGCACATGTGTATCTAAATTTTGTCAAATAATGGCTTACTGATATCAGGTGCTAGAAAACAATACGCCACAAAAACTCCGAAGCACCACGTCCGAAAGTAACTTCATCTCCAAATAGAGCGCGCAAAATCAAATGTTTCAGATGTTCATGAACGGAATAGGGGAAGCTTTCGCTTAACAGGCTTCCGTGTCTAGTAGCAGTGGATCACCAATACATCCAGGCAGGAACCTAGGTATATTAACGATAGTATATGAAAGAAAATAAGTTGATAAATCATAATAACATATATAAGCGAACAATATTGTTCGCTCATATATGTTGTTTTAAATTTACAATATGTGAATATTCCAAATCTTAATAAGATGTTATCCTTAGTCCGTAAGAATAGGTCAAGTTTCTTCTTAAAGGACTCCTGGGAAGTCGTTTGGATTAGTTCGGTCGGCAGCAACTTCCACCACTTGACAACTCTTAGGGAGTAGGAGTTGTGTCTAGAGTCTGTTCTGTTATGTTGTATCTCCGATTTCTGGGTGTTACTATTTAGTTCTGTGTTGAAGCTAAACTTAAGTAAGCGTTCAAGGGGATGTCCAGAAGTGTTGAGGATACTGTAAGTCATCAGAAGGTCACCTCTGAGACGCCTATACTCTAATGGGTAAAGGTTAAGTGACTGGAGGCGCCCTTCATAAGGTTTGAATTTGAGTCCCCAAAGTGAACTCGTGGCTCGCCGTTGGATGCGCTCCAGAGGGTCATTAACCTTTTGGAGTGATGGAGGAAATACTGTTTCTGTATTCTAAATGAGGACGAATGAAACTGTTGAAGATTATGTGGAAAGCTCTTCCGTCAAACTGGCCAAAAATGCGCTTCAATGTTACCAGTGCAAGGTTTGCTCGAAAGGCATTTTTGTCACAGTTGGCGTAAGACTTCAAATCGTACGGTATCAGGACTCTTAAATCATTTTCGACTCGGGATACTATTAGAGAGGAGTTACTTAAGTTGTGACTATAGTCTGCAACATGTCGCAGATGGACTATTTTACACTTTGAAGTGTTAAAAGTAAGCTGGTTACCGTCTGCCAAACTTTGAAGTCGAGTCAGATCCACCTGAAGTGCCTGTATATAGTCTTGGTTGTGTATCCCTACAAAGTTTCACGTCATCGGCAAAAAGTAATAAGTCTGACGATACCTGTCGCGAAAGATCATTTACATAAATCAAGAAGAGAAGGAGTCCTAGTACTAAACCCTGGGGGACCCCAGTAAGACACTCCATAGCCCGAGATAAAGTGAAGTTAACCCTGATCTTAAAATGTCGATTTTTAGATTTGAAGTGAGCCAATCAATTAGACATAGTCTGGTACCCGTTCGTTTGAGTTTATTGGTAAGACATATACGCCTGACACTATCAAAAACTTTTGAGAAATCAAGGTAATGACTTCAACTTTAAACTTGCGATCAAAGACGGTTGTCCATCTGTACACCGCAGTCAGCAGGTTGGTTATACAAACACGACCCTTCCTGAAACCATGATGTGGGAGTAGAAAGAAGTTTAAGGATAAAAAATAGTTGGGCATGCCGTCACATTGTAGGAACTCCAAAATTTTTGAAGGTATAGAGAGAAGAGACATCGTCGTTAACTTAAAGGTTCGCTGCTCCGAACACCTTTGGAAATCGGTGTGATGTGAGCCAGCTTCCGAATTTCCGGTAGTTTGTCTCGGTTCAGCGAGTGTGAGAACATCACGCTAGACAGTGTTGCCAGGATTGAAGCTGCTTCTTTCACGATAGCAGAACGAACCATATCCGGACCAGGAGAATTGTCTTTTTTAGGTGCTGCAGTTTCCGGTACACCAAGTCAGCGCACAGGTTCACTTCGGAAAGTCCTGTGCAATTGCAGATGAAGCTGCCATCAGTAAAGTTGATGTGGGTCGGTTGAAATATCCCAGAGTATTGTTCACTCAGAAGGTTAGCGGCGTCACCGTCGTTACTCATAAAACTAGAGGCTGTGACGACGTGATCGCCTTCACCCAGGTGAACCAGGATTAAGAGGTTGCCAACTGGGGATTCTTCTCCTATAAATACCCAGTCTAGGCGCGATGGTGTTTGACTGTTTCTTGAAGGAGTTGTCGGATTCATATTTTTGAATAATCTCAGATCCTGAATGAGGTTGAAGAACCGAGCTTCAGTTGAGTTTACACCTCCGATATACGTATGTTCCGCGAAATTTAATCTAGAGAGATTGAAGTCCCCTAGAATCCGGATATGAGTGAATCCGAGACGCGTAGAGAGGAATAGTCATTCCAAAATACTCGATGTCAGCAGTGGGCTTCCTGTAGGGCCTGCGAAATGTCATTAAGCCCTAGTTATATCATCCAGCATTCGAGTCATTGAATATCGAACAACTCGTCGATCCTCGTCAAGGTCGAGGACAACCAACGTGCATCAGTTAATCGTATGCCATGGACTGGCCGATGCGGCAGTGGTCTTACTTTCGCTTGTATCTACTTTAACTAATTTATTTCTGTAATAACGTCCTCTGTGTTCCACAGTCTTCAAAGCATCCATGGTGCCTTGATACGTTAATGGGGTACTTCACCTATGGTGCTGACCACGAGGTGTGACCTCAATGTTAGCTAGTTTGTCACACCGTTCACGTCTAACTCGAGTAGGTCTCCAATCGTCTCGACATAGATCATCTACATTGGTGATCTACAGTCAGCAGCGGGCTTCCCATAGATGACCCCGACTAGGCACTTCGAAGTAGTAGACAATATTACAGAGCACCATACAGATTCCTCAAGATTTTTAAACTCATGGTTGTGAACTTTGTGTGCCTCCAGGCAAGATCATATGTATACGGCTACTCCACCCCCGATTCCTGTTTTTCTGTCGTCGCGAAACAAGAACATCCCAGGTATTGCTAGCTCTTGGTCCGTAAACTGCGATATCCAAGTTTCAGATATTCCCATCAAATGAGCCTTATTAGCATTGCTAAGTTCACGTAGCTCATCCATTTTTTTGGTAGACTCGCGTCGTTCATGTATAAGCAGTTTATGCTTTCATTTTGAAGTGCGTGAGCTTCTGTCTGTTTGTCTTTATAAGCCTTACGTGAATGGACAGGTAGCCTACCTGTATAAGGGTTGCCGAGTTGGTAGGCCCTGTCTTTTACACGTTTTTTTGTGATCAAGACAGTCCACAAGTGGAATGGTCAGCTCCAACTTGCCGTTGTGCTTGATCTTGGTGTCATGTGGCCTGTCTGGGTGCACATGAACTCCAGTTGTCAACCGACGTCTGTTGGCATGAAATGCTTCCTGACTTGCAGCCGCCATATGGGAGGATGGGAAAGTTGTCCTCATTAGCTGGGGTCTAGAATCATCGTCCTTCTTGGCTAGTCTCGTCACATGTTGAGTCAGCATGTTTTTGAACCTCAAGGACTGTTTGATGAATTTCCACTCCCTAATATCAGAGTTTGCTTGACTAGGGTCCGTATTTTCCGGTACATCTTGCACAATGATATTTCTTCCGCGGAAAAACTTCTCGCGAGATTCTTTAGGGATGTTCCGGATGAGATTGCGCTCAGAATACAGTACGTTGGGCAGTATTCTTACGTTCCCATTGCATTTCAGTAAATGATTAGCTACGTCGGCAGCATTCCTAAGTGTTATACGAAGAAGCCTCGAGTGATTTTGATGCTTAGATTCCTTTCCTCGAATGAGCCGTGTGACTGTCAAAGTCTCTATTCTAGGAAGTTCAAGCTTCTCGTTCAATTCTCCCCAGAGCATCCTGTCGTTTTTGTCCTGCAAGCTGAGGGGAAGGTCAGGGTTGTCTTTGAGGTTCATGACTATGAGAGAGTCATCACGAAACGTTATTGTTTTCCCAGGTTTTCCGGTGCGTTCAGGTTCAGCACCTTGTTGTTTGGAGATTGAATTACGTTTTTGAATCCTAGGCTCTTTGATGACCGGACGGACATTCTTTGTGGTGGACTGTGCGTTTGTATTCCACTCAACAGTGCATTTTGCGGCTTAGCAAACGAAGAGTGTGGTTCTTGATGACTGTAGGTTGCTTGTAGATTTTGGGGACCATTGGAGGAACAGACTGCGTTTTAGCACATAAGATGGCGTGCAGTAAGAAAACCCAATGATCATCCACATCAAGTTGAGGGTGAATTTTCCAATCCACTTGTTGAAGATAGTCCTGTAGAGCTGACACATTCAACTGTTAGAAATTCCAGTGTCTGTTGTTGGTGGGATGTCTTAGCTCATTTTCACTTTTAAAACCACGGGATGAAAAGCACACCAAAATCTGGCAAAACTGGATAAAAACTGATGAGATAAACTGAACTAGTCTTTACGTGTAAAACTAAATAAAATCGAATGGTAAGCTGAGGCAAAATTGATTTTTGGTCATTTGTGATGATTTCATTATACTTCATATGATTCATTAGGGAAGTATACTACCTATCCCTTCTGTAATACACCAGCATCAACTTACGTAGTTTCTGCATAGCAAAGTAAGTTTTATTTTTTTAACTCATGTGCCGATCGGGTAACAGCTTTCGTGGCTATTATAGGATTACTGCCAGCCCCAAGTCCGAATGAATTAGAAGGACTGATCTTTGGGTTGTAAACCCAACACGTAGAAAACAGCCATACTATAAGAACACAATCCATCAAAAATCATTCGAACCATTTAAACTCTGTCCTCGGAATTGAGCGACCTTCGCTTTGAAAAACAATGACGCTTCTTGGTGAAAGCTGGGGTTCTTAGGGAATCACGAGGCTGATGCCTTTTCTAACAACCGGGGCAATGGTTAAAATAGAGATACGGCATTTCCAGACAATGTTGGATACCGGAAGGACAAGTCAAATACCTGCGGAAATGAGGAGACACAATTGAAAATTCTTGAGATAAGTGAATTTTCATTTAATAACACCAATAATGATCTATTCTCAAATAACAGTTTGTTACATGAGGCATGTCAGTTTATAGGAAAGATCAAATTGTTACAGAAGATACGATTTTCATTGTAGTAAATTACTCAGCTGAGTTGATAGTTTTAATAAGGATCGTACTGTCAGTATCACAGTTTGAGCGCCTTATGAAAGTTGCGTTGCGACGTGCAACTGTTGGCCGAGAATAGATCCAT